CCTTTGAATGCGTGCACGATGGATGGGGAGTCGCGGTTCTTGTTGGCGTGCCGCATAAAGAAGCAATCTTCAAGACACATCCTGTGAATTTCCTGAATGAAAGGACTCTAAAGGGTACTTTCTTTGGGAACTATAAGCCACGTTCCGACCTTCCCTCTGTTGTAGAGATGTACATGAACAAGGCAAGTCTAAACAACACCATTTTCCATTCGTCCCAAAAGTAGTCCGCTTTTGTTGAACTCTAAGATTATGATCGAATTCTTACTTTTGTTGTGTATTGCAGGAACTTGAATTGGAGAAATTCATCACTCATGAAGTCCCATTCGCGGAGATCAACAAGGCCTTCGAGTTAATGCTTAATGGAGAAGGTCTACGATGCCTCATTCGGATGGAGTGATGATTGATTTTGGAAGAAAACTTGCGGAATGAAGATTTATCTCTTTTCTGAAAAAAATGTTGTGTTGGTCTTTGAACTTTGTTGTTACAGTAAATCCGTTTAGTTGCCTTTTATCTCTGCAAAATCTTGTATTTTTCTGAACATTTCGGTTACCATCGAAGACATTTCATCCATCTAATGTATCAAATATGGTTCTGAATTTGCTTTCCTCAAGTGAATCAATAATGAAGTTTCATGATTTTTCTCAATTTCAGAATTCCCTTTTTTTTTTTTTTTTTTTGAGTCAACCAGCTAAATTATGAAAGTTCCAAATTTCGATTTGAGGAATATCAAAATGTGGAAAGTTTTGTTCCAAAGCAACAAATTCCACCAAACTTCATTTTAGACCCAAACATAAATCTATGTTATTGTTATTTGTATAAAAAGACCATCTTATGTTTTCCATAACACTATATTTATTTTAGAGTTCTATTTTTTTTTTTTAGGAGTTCCTATTTCTTATTTAAAAAAAATGTACACGACAATTTTAGTAACAAATTCCATTCATTTACTCATGGTTTACTGGAATTACTTTTATTGGCAAAGTCTACCTTAGATTAACCTAAGTCCGATTGGTAAATACAGTAACCCTGGTACTTGAAATGGACATTACCTAAAATTAATGTGTTTGATCTGCTTCTTCCTAAATAAGCATTGTTGTCGGAGGGTCGAAACTTTGGGTAGCAAATAATCTTGATGGAATAAATCTCCCACGAGTTAATTAGTAGTTCCGAAGCATTGCAAGGTACAATCTAGATTCTCCCTTGTTGGACATCAAAGATTTAACTATATATTCGTATTATATATACTCGTGATAATCAATATTTCTGGATCAATTTATACATGTAGGAGAGAGTCTACTTTATATGGTTCGTCCATCCTCTACACTATCCTTTGATGAAGATCTCATATCCACATTAACTTTTTAATCTGTGTACTCCCTCCATTTTTAATAAAGTAAAAATAACTAATTTTCAATAATTAAGAAAAGCAGTTAGTTTATTTTTTATTTTTATTTTTTTTGGCAAATTACATATACTATCCATGTTAAAAATGTCTCCATATTTCTAGGAACCAATTAAATTAAGTTTAAAAAACTTAAGTTAGGGTAAAGTATATATGAAAGTGTTGAACGGAGTATAAAAATATATGAAAGATATTAAATGAGACCAAAGAAAACCTTAAAATGACTTATAATAAGAACGGAGTTTTGGATGAATTCCAGGAATTTGGAGGAGATAACAACCAGATGAAAGTTGTCTGGGGGGTGATGTCGAAAGGATCTGAGTCGAAGAAATATTTTTTCGATGTTTCGGACAATTCAGACCATGTCCAAAAAGATTTGGCAATGCGCAGGATCCCTTCAAGAAGGTTAACTTAATTTTAAGAACATTGAATTGCCGTAGTTAAAGATTTCGGCTTCTCTCTTTAATTAGGCTTTTCGGGATGCTACGGGAGCAAAGATATTTGAATTATGAGAGGGAAGATTACAGTATTAATTGATGAAATTCATTAATTTATCTTGAAAACTACTTCATCTTCCCCTCCCCCAAAAATACAAATATCATTTTTTTTTTTGAGACAAAGAGCATAATTGAAAAAAGCGTTTATCCTTCTAAATTTTACCGGAACTGTGGTACAATGTAGTTATATATACGTATATACGTATGTCATTCTGATTGAAGTCCTAAAACCATAAAGTGATTTGTTTTAGTTTAACTGTGAAAAACAAATGAAGTAAACATATTTATTTCAGGACTCAGGGTGACACATGCTGCAGCCATCAAACCACAAGGTTTTTTTTTTCTCAAAAAAAAGAAATATATATATATGTATATATCTAAAAAAAATTTTTAATTAAACTCATTTCTTACTTTAATTTAAAAAGAAAAAAAAAAACAAAATAGAGTGTTAGCTGGAATTGGCAGAAGAATACTGTGATACTCCAAGAAAGCAAGGTGGTCAAGCTTGTTGGTGGGACCAATATATAAACCCTAGCTAGCTGGTCTACTAGTAATTTAGGTTAACCATTTTGGGTCTAATGAGGACGGTTACCAAATAGTTATTGGGCCAGACCTAACTGCTGGGATGTTATAAATACACATGAACATAAATAGATGACAGTTCAAGGTTTATTAGAGTTCATAAAGAGAAGATTAAGTTAACACAAACTTTGACTAATAACAACAATATAGAGTAACAATTTATATTTTGACATATAAAAATTTGCAAATGTTTTGAATTTCGAGTCCTGTTTCTCTTTATTTCTATTTTAGGGTTTTTTTTTTCCAAAAAAAGAATGATGTTTTCTTGTATAATTAATTAATTTTGTGCGGGAGACACCACCTCCGATATCCCTTCTAAGATTAAAATGGTTAACGTAAATGGAATATTGATGTTGATTATTTGGCGTAGGGAATGGCAGGCCAATGCAGCAAATTATTTTGCTTCGGAGGTTTAGGGTTAAGAGTTCAGGGCTTAGGGGCTGGCCAAGAGATCAAAAAAACCGAATATCATTTTAATTGAAAAACGATTTAATCGGAATTTTCATTCTCATAAAGTACAATTGTTTCACTGTACAGGAAAAGAAAATTACATCAAAAAAATATTAAGTCAATTCCCAAACTCTACCGATAACCCTTTGTCTGTTTCCATGCATGCAGATTCGAAATCACCAGAATCTGAATTTCTTATTTAATCATTAGTTCTATATGTAACATCAGTATAATAATAATATTATGTCCACTTTGGAGGTGAATATTCCAGGGAATCATAAGTTGGCAAATGTGCCCTGAGGAATCAACCTTCTTTTGAATTATATATGTACGTAATAGAGTAATAATAAATTATTCTTTTACTGGTGTACAAGTTTGAATTGCCCACCAGTAAAAAAAATGTTCATAACGATCAAATTTGCTTTGGTAATTCTCCAGGATCTCAATGAAAAATAGTCCTTTTGCTTAAAAGTTCACCTTTGGCATAACACTGTAATGATATTTTTAGATATATGTAATTGTCAACATATATACGTACTAGATTTAATGAAAAATGTAAAGGACAAATATATTTGTTACGATTTTTATTTTACCATTTCAATCATATCTAGCTAATTACTATATTGTAGGTGTGATCCTTCTATGATTTAACAGTCCGAATGGCCCCTTATTGGAGTTTTATAAGACAAAAAAAATTTTCCAAACAGCAACACATAGAGGAGAAAAAAATATTAAGAGGAGTTTTATCCACTTTTGTTTTATAGTTTAATATCGTAATGATACGTTTTCTCAAGCACGTCGGAAAAGTAATTTTTTAATATAGAGCCAAAGTCAGACCTTACATACAAAACGAAGGCCAATCAAGTGGGAGAAGAAACCATCGGATCCTTGGCTCTAAACAGCTTAAAGCCTGGTGGGACTAAACAAAACCGTTAACAAAACCTAATTCCATTTTCATTCCGACAAAGCTATGGCCTATGAGCTTTTGATTGCTTTAAATACAATGACGTGGAAAATCCAGATTTGGTGAAACCTAGTCAAACCTGTGGGCCTATTAACTTTCCATATGTCAATCTAGCCTTTGGCACAAAACTGTGTGTGTGTGTATATATATATATATATATATATATATATATATATATATATATTCTTTCTTCACTAAAAGGTCCAAAATTTGTCTGATATTAATTTATGGAAACATAAGGTTAAATAAGGTCAAATTGGCCTCATCATCCATCAAAATCGTTCCACAAATTAATTAGTACTTTCGCTGATAATCATTTCAAAAAAAAAAGCAGTGGGAGTATTTAGTACGAAGGTACGACCTCTTCTAAAGGTTAGAAACATTACAAATAGCCTTCCACGGTTGGGCGGGTGGAAAATGGAGTATAGATGTAATTTAATGATATGCATTTGTAAAATATGTTAGAATCTAAGGGCTTGTTTGGCCAATTTTCATTTTGTATTTCTGTCTCATTTGACCTCTTAAAACACCTCTCAAACACAAATTTCAATACTATCTAAACAACTTTTTAATTTACATTTTAAAAAAATATTCTAAAAATTATTTTTACACAATTTTCGTCCACTACCACCGGCGGCAGCACCGGTGGTAGAGGTGGTTCCGTGGTGGTTTAAAAATATTATTAGTTTATTTAAAATATTACCCAAACAACTTTTTAAATTTTATCTCAAACCATATTTTAAATCGCATCTCAAACCCAAATAAAAAACTAAAACAAAATGTTGGTCAAACAAGCCCTAAATAACAATATATATATATATATATATATATATATATATATATGTTCTCATTAGATTGATATATCAATAGATAATCATAATAGTTTCAAATTCTTTGGGGATCGATCCGTAGTTTCTCAAAACTTTGGGGAAGTTCACGGAAAACTACCTAAAAAGTTGTAAAGAAGCAAAACCGGACAGCAGGATTCGAAAAGCCTCTGGTATTCGAACTTCTTCAGAACAATATTTATACATGGAATTAGAAGGAGTAAACTTGCTTATTTAATTATTAGAATTTAGAAACCCGAAAAAAAAAAAAAAAAACAATGCTGCATCATAATTTCATCCCAACCATATCATACTCCCCTGAATCCAAGTATATATACCCTCTAAAGACATCATCATTTGATCCATCTCAAAGTTCAGTTGGAAACAGTTTAGAGCTCATCAGCAAATCAAGAAAATCTTTTAGTCTGTCTCGAAGCTTAATACTAAACAACAAATCAAGGAACTCAATTTCTGTGAAAGACCTTCAATCAAATCAACCAGAAGAAGCAGAGATGGCGAGCACAGCTGGGCAGGTCATTCGTTGCAAAGGTACCATTTTTGTGTTCATAATATCCAGGAAATGTCATGATTCATTTTATTTAGTGAAATGGAAACATGGGTTTTCTCGATCTTTTATGGTTTTGATCTTGTTAAGGTTTTAAAAGATGATTCTATTAAGTATTTGAATATCAAGTTAAAAAAATGAAGCATGGTTAATGTTTGTTTTCATTTCTCTGTGGCGGCAGCTGCTGTTGCATGGGAAGCAGGGAAGCCATTAGTGATTGAAGAAGCGGAGGTGGCTCCTCCTCAGAAGATGGAAGTTCGTCTATTCTCTTCACTTCCCTTTGCCACACTGATGTCTATTTCTGGGAAGCCAAGGTGATTATTTTCCACACCAAAAAAAAAAAAAAAAAAAAACACCTGAATCTTATCAATTTATGTTTATTAACCGTAGTTCTTTACTCATGACATTCAAGTGGTTGATTCAGAGCAGCATTTAAGACAATTTTGTTGCCTTTGCAGGGGCAAAATCCCGTCTTTCCACGAATCCTCGGCCATGAGGCTTCAGGGTATGCGAATTTCAGGCCAGATCATATTTGATTCATTGGCTTTTCTTTATCGATGTATTCTGATTTCAAAAGGAATTGACCTGTACTTTTCTGGGTGTTAGGATTGTTGAGAGTGTTGGAGAAGGTGTGACAGAACTTCAGCCAGGGGATCATGTTCTCCCTGTTTTCACAGGGGAATGCAAGGAATGTGCTCACTGCAAATCTGAAGAAAGCAATATGTGTGATCTCCTGAGGATCAATACTGACAGGGGTGTGATGCTCAACGATGGAAAATCAAGATTCTCCAAAAATGGACAACCAATTTACCATTTTGTGGGCACATCTACATTTAGTGAATATACCGTTTGCCATGTTGGTTCTGTTGCAAAAATCAATCCTCTTGCTCCTCTCGACAAAGTCTGTGTTCTGAGCTGTGGAATCTCCACAGGTATGTGATTTCAAGTTTTCAACTGTATGTTAGATTCCGATCTTCATCTATATGTATATACGTATATGATTCTCGTTCCAATTTGATGATTTTCCCTGGTTGCTTTTTCATTAGGCCTTGGTGCCACTTTAAATGTTGCTAAACCAATAAAAGGATCGTCGGTGGCTGTGTTTGGATTGGGGGCTGTTGGCCTTGCTGTAAGTTATTAAAGTCCAGAGCTGAAATCTTTTTTTTTTCTGGTTGTATTAACATTCAAATTGTCTAATGTCATTATGGTTATTGTGCTTGATTAGGCTGCAGAAGGGGCCAGACTAGCTGGTGCTTCAAGGATAATCGGTGTTGATTTGAATCCTGCAAGGTTTGAGGAAGGTAAACATACATATCTCATCCCTTATTACAAAATTTCACATAATTTGTCATGGAACTAATGTGCTGACAATCAATTGAGTTGAGTAGGCTTATTAGTTTTAGGCCATTTTTAATTTGCCAATGTTCTTTTTAACTGGTATCATTCGCTAACAAAATTGTCTTTTTTTTTTCTTTCTTTTTTTTTTTTTGGTATAAACGCAGCTAAAAAGTTTGGGGTGAATGAATTTGTGAATCCAAAAGACTATGATAAACCAGTTCAAGAGGTTTGTTTTCTTATACACCAACATTCTCAAATAAGGCTTTTAAATACAATGACAGTTGACAGCCTCTCTACACCTTCATTGTGCTGAGATTTAGTTTTCACTTCTGGCCTCAGGTGATTGCTGAGATGACTAATGGAGGAGTGGACAGGAGTGTGGAGTGCACCGGAAACATCAACGCCATGATCTCGGCCTTTGAATGCGTGCACGATGGATGGGGAGTCGCGGTTCTTGTTGGTGTGCCGCATAAAGAAGCAATCTTCAAGACACATCCCGTGAATTTCCTGAATGAAAGGACTCTAAAGGGTACTTTCTTTGGGAATTACAAGCCACGTTCCGACCTTCCCTCTGTTGTAGAGATGTACATGAACAAGGCAAGTCTAAGATTATGATCGAAATCTTACTTTTGTTGAACTATAAGTTTATGATTGAATTCTTACTTTTGTTGGGTGTTGCAGGAACTTGAATTGGAGAAATTCATCACTCATGAAGTCCCATTCTCCGAGATCAACAAGGCCTTTGAGTTAATGCTGAATGGAGAAGGTCTACGATGCCTCATTCGGATGGATTAATGATGAATGGCTTCAAAGACAATGTGCATGAAGATCAACCTTTATTTCTCTCAGAAAAATGTTTGTTGTTTTGATCTTTGAACTTCAACTTCCCCTTTTAAGTTAGAATTGTCCCTGTGTATCATATCACGGTTCAGAATTCTTTCCTCATCAAGTTAATAAACTTTGCATGAATTTTATGTATGGGTGGGTGTTAATTGTGTGACAGTCTTCTTTACAATGTCAGTATATTTCTTCCTCAACACAAATTACTATTTAGGGAACAAAATATGTTTGTTCAATGATGTCATCGATTTTGTTTGCAAAAATAACCAACGTTTTGGGTTTCATCTCAATCGTATCTATCTTTTGAAACTTGGGCAAGAAAGGATGATAACTATGCTAGGTATGTTGATGACAGGAAAAAATTTCTGTTAAACTCTTGTAGTTGTTCCTCATAGGTTTCAATCATTTTTAGGCGGCGAGGTTAGACGATTTTGGGTCACAAGAGTTTGTAGTCCAAAAAATTGGGAGGAACAGCCTAGATTTTCTCCTCTCGGACATCAAGCACTTCACTCTATATTTGCGTTAATTTGATCTTTAAATTTAGTATCGGGTAGTTTCTCTAATTCTGATAAGGATTAAATTAACAATGATAGTAATAATTATAAATTGATTTGGACAAGAAAGACTATACTTTGTTGATGATCCCTTTCAAGGACAACCGCATTTTTCAAAAAAAAAAAAAAAAACAGAGTTTTGTTCCTGTCCTATTGCCATCAGAAGGCTATTATGCACTCTTCCTACCGTGAACTCAACTATTAAAAATTTAAGATAGGACTCCAAGTAATTGATTGAAATGCAAGTTTAGAGTTGGTTTTCATTTTACTTGGTATTTGGCGAAAAAGTTGTAATACTCCTCTGTAATAAATTGAAAGAAGCGTTTATCAAAATCATTTTCTCTTTAGTATTAAAGTTTACCAGAACTGTTTGTTACACAAAATTGTTCCCATTAGATTCGTTTAACCGAAAGCATTTAATTGGTAAAGATCGAATCAGCTTAAGTATGATCTAGGATCAAACTTGCAGATATGGACATGTATCAATGAATAAAATATTATTTAGGAGAGTTTTCTTTTCAGAAATGGATCTACCTAGTTTGAATCTGAATTAATGACTTTACACTCTTGGGTTCTTAATATACGAAAAAGAAGTTTTTTGAAGCTTAAAAGAGCTTTAACTCTAGGAAAAAAAAACATATCCGATTCGAATCCATATTAGTCGAAATAGTGACTTCAACACCGAAAGAGTAATATATTAAAAAAAAGTTTTTTGAAACCATTTGTCAATTGCTTTGCAGCTATTCCAGTTTCAGACTAATAGTAACATGAATCTATTAAAAAAAAAAAGAAAAGGAAAAAAAACCTTTCATTTGTGATAGGAAAATTCATGTTAATAATTAGTCAGCTACCCAAAGGGGAAAAAAAAATACATAGAATAAAAACTAAAATTGAAATTTATTTAAATGGAAATGAGAATCAATATAAAATATTTTCTTGTTTTCTTATTATCCTACAAATAAGATAGGACTCTCATTTTGAGCATTATCCAACAACACATTGGACAATTTTCAGCATTTCAAATAAAATCTTGCTGTTCTATCGAAACAAAAATAATGAGAAAAAAAACAAGACTTTCATCTTCAAAAGAAATACTCACTCTGTCCTAAAATTATTGTCCACTTTGAGGTTTTACTTTTAGTATAATTTGAACTAAAAATGAAAACTCAAACTGGACAATAATTATGTGATGGAGGAATACGGTTTAATTTGAAAACTGAATTTTAGGTCCCCTAGAAGTTTTGGTTACCGGTTTTGCAAGCAAAAAGAGAAAATCAAAAGTAAAAACTGTAGTAGTAAATACCAGCAGAGAAGAATCTAAAACCGGCAAAACCAGAAACCGGAGAACGCCTTAGGCCGCAAGAGTCGCCACTTGTATTCAAAAGTTAAATTTGAACCAATTGAAAATCATCATCTCTGTCGTTGATTTCTTTTTATCCACGCCTTAATTTCCACTAAACCACAGTATAAATACAGCTATCAAACATCTCTTTTGTCTCCATCAAAAAAGTTACAGCAAATCAGCTTAAACATTCTTACAGGAAAGCTTTAATTCAGTTTCGGAAAAGAGCCCTCTAGAGAAATCAAGAAGAAGAAGAAGATTCAATGTCGACTGCTGGGCAGGTTATTCGTTGTAAAGGTACTGTCTTTATGTTCATAACTTGATATTATGGAATTTTTTTGGAGGATTTATTCTGTTTCAGTGAATTTGCTTAGAGGGATTTTAGTTAATCATTGGAATTTTCATTTTTTGTTGGCCAATGGGCTTTAATTGATGAGCTTTTGTTTATCTGTGGCAGCTGCTGTTGCATGGGAAGCAGGGAAGCCATTGGTGATTGAAGAAGTTGAGGTGGCTCCTCCTCAGAAGATGGAAGTTCGTCTCAAGATTCTCTTCACTTCCCTTTGCCACACTGATGTTTATTTCTGGGAAGCTAAGGTAATTTAGTTACCATTTTGTTTAGGACTAAATAAAGGGCTGTGAATTTAATCAATCTAATTGATGTTATTACCTTGTTTTAAATCGCAATGTTAGAGTGATGATCAGCAAGTTTTGTGATTCTTGCAGGGCCAAAATTCCGTCTTTCCACGAATTCTCGGCCACGAGGCTGCAGGGTATGTTGATTTTATAGCCAGATCATGAGTTTTTTTTCTTTATCAAGATTCTAGTTTCTAGCATTTATTTTTTGCCGAGCATAGTAAGATGGTATTGAATTGTATGTTTCTGGGGTGTTAGGATTGTTGAGAGTGTTGGAGAAGGTGTGACAGAACTTCAGCCAGGAGATCATGTTCTCCCTGTTTTTACAGGGGAATGCAAGGAATGTGCTCACTGCAAATCTGAAGAAAGCAATATGTGTGACCTCTTGAGGATCAATACTGACAGGGGTGTGATGCTTAACGATGGGAAATCCAGATTCTCCAAAAATGGACAACCAATTTACCATTTTGTGGGCACATCTACATTTAGTGAATACACTGTTTGCCATGTTGGTTGTGTTGCAAAAGTTAATCCCACTGCCCCTCTTGACAAAGTTTGTGTCCTGAGTTGTGGAATCTCCACAGGTATATTAATTTAATTCAAGTTTGATTCCATAAACTCAATTTTATGCAGAGATGATTTCTGTTTTTTTTTGCTCTAATCGCTAAAAGCATTATTGTTTTGCTGTTTCTTGATTAGGCCTTGGTGCCACTTTGAATGTTGCTAAACCGAAAAAGGGATCTTCAGTAGCAGTTTTCGGATTGGGGGCTGTTGGCCTTGCTGTGAGTTTCCGAAAAGCAAAACTAAACTCTTTGTTTGTGTGTTTTCATGTATTAAAATGTCTGACGTTAAATTTTTTCTTACTGTGCTTGATCAGGCTGCAGAAGGCGCTAGAATCGCTGGTGCTTCGAGGATCATAGGTGTTGATTTGAATCCTGCAAGGTTTGAGGAAGGTAAGAGATAATTCTCAAACTTTTATCATCAAATTTGTGTTCAAATTGATATTATTCCCCTCTTTTTCCCCGCAAGCATATCTATGAATGTGATCATTGGCTAACCACATTTTTGTTATAACATCTGCAGCAAAGAAATTTGGGGTGAATGAATTTGTGAATCCAAAAGACCACAACAAACCAGTTCAAGAGGTTTGTTTACATTACAACTTTTTGCTGCTTAGGCTTAGCGAATTGATAGGCTCTACCTTTGCTGTACTAACAAATTAGTTTGCATTGTTGTCGTTAGGTGATTGCTGAGATGACTAATGGCGGAGTGGATAGGAGTGTGGAATGCACCGGAAACATCAATGCCATGATCTCGGCCTTTGAATGTGTCCATGATGGATGGGGAGTTGCTGTTCTTGTCGGCGTGCCACATAAAGACGCGAGCTTCCAGACACACCCGGTGAATTTTCTGAATGAGAGGACTCTCAAGGGTACCTTCTTTGGTAACTATAAGCCTCGCTCCGACCTACCCTCTGTCGTCGAAAAATACATGAACAAGGCAAGTGTTACAAGGGAATTCCATACTATTTGAAGAATGTGGAGCTTATGATTAATTTTGCTCTTTTCTTGTAATGCAGGAACTTGAATTGGAGAAATTCATCACTCATGAAGTATCCTTCTCGGAGATCAACAAGGCATTTGATCTCATGCTCAAAGGGGAAGGCCTCCGCTGTCTCATTAAAATGGAGGAGTAATTTAACAGTTTTAAGAGGGAATGAGGGAAATTTGCGGCTCCTGAAGAAAAGCTACTTCTTTCATAGTTTAGATTTTTTAGGTTTTTAATAAATTTGTAGGACTTGAAAATTTCACTGAATGGTATTAGTTGTCCCTCCATCCCTTTACCTTTCAGCTACTTTACCAAATAACTCCTCTTATGCTCTGTGCAGTTGTCGGGATCTCTCGCATTAATAAAGAAAGGTTTATATCATTTCTGGAATTAGCTTTGTAATTATAATTCTCCACCCCCTTCTGTCTAGTAGAGCTTTGAACATATGGTTGGCAAAACCGTTTTCTTTGTTTGAGATTTCTAAATGTGCGCTTTCTTTGTTTTCCACAATTGAGGGTAGCATCAATCTTTATAGTTTTATTGAATTAAGTGGATGGAAAATCGTTGTTTTGGTCCGGACCTTTTTGAGGAAATTTTCAGCTTGTTGAAAACAACACTCTATTGTCAAGAAACACTATCATGCTTTAAGCAACACTCATTTTTTTTTTTGGCTTGAGTAAGATACAACTTTATACATCTAAAATGATGACGATTTTAAAATTACATTCATGAAGGAAGACTGATTAAAATTTATAATCCAGGTAGTCCCTTCGGTAAGTCGTACCACCACATCCATTCAATGTTCGAAGTTCCTTCATCCTCAACACAAACCCCCAAGTAATGGCTAATAAGTTGATGATTATTTATGACGATTGGGCTATGATTGGTAATATAATATCCCAAAAAAAATGAACCGGCTATTTGATTTTGATATACATTTTGTCTCTCTCGAGAAAAAGATTACTCTCTCACATCTTATATTTACAACAAGGCCTAAATTAAAATTAAGCTTGGTTTAAAATTACATCTTATAAGTAGGACCAATGGAGGATCAATTATTACTCACATTAGTACCAATCAATCTCATAAGCTATATTTCTTCATAAGCAAAGGCAAGGGAATTGATTTCTTGATTTAAAGTTAGAAAGTGAGAAGGAAAAAAGAAACAAACAAAAAAAAAAAAAAAAACAAAAACAAAAACCTAACAACCTTTCAAAGCAAGCAAAAATTTACATCATATAACCCAAAAACTTTAGGGTGACAGAGCGACTAATCTTTCCCAGAGTGTGGTAGCTTGGCCAAAATGTCAAGGTCTAATATCTTCACATCAAATGTAATATCCAACTTGACAATTCCATCAGTACCATCAATGCCAATAAGCTTTCCGGTGGCGCCGCGATGCGTGCCACCCATGATCTTTATTTTATCCGACTTCCTAGGTGCAATGACTTCGATTTCGTTTGGAAGGGCGGTGATCACATCACCATTGTCTCCCGATCCAAGAGCAACCCTGCACGAACCATCCTGAAACAAGAGAAGAGAAAACCCCATTTCACATCATCAGAGCAGAACTTCTCCCAGTACAGCATTGAATAAAAATCCAAGAAGCTTGAACCATATGCAAGGATATCAAAACATAACAAGAAATGTATTAACTTGAACCGACTGAAACGAAACACTGGAAAAACTCATGCAGCCAGACATCCAGTCACCTTGCCCAGGAAAATTTGATCTTTTACAAATTCTTTCAAAGGCTCCATCAATACTAGAAGGAAAATTAACTCCTACATGGGACATAACATATCATTGTGAGTAGACCCAGGATTCTAACTTTTACCAGCTGATTTTGAGCACTAAATTTATCTGCGAACAACTATTTCCCCTACAAGTGCTAGGCAAGAGCATCAAGTTTACAAAAGCAAATCTTTAATCAAAAGTTGTCACGCTTTCAGGTGCCGAGCACAGAAGATTGCAATATCAATGGTATCACAAATTTTATTCTACTATTATTTGACAGGGTAATTTCTTCCTAACTGCAGACAGAATAAACTTACTACTCATTTAGGGTGATGCAGCAGTTCATGAAGACAGACATCTAAAAAAAGAAAAATATTCATCACAGGCCAGATAAAACTCAACATACCGGAAGCACCTCTCGAACAATTCCAGTATCAACATCTTCACCCTGCCTACGAATGTTGACCAAGATATCAGGTAACAACCAGGGTCCTTCATTATCCCCGCCTGAGATATATGTCGGTCACAGTCATATCACTAATAAATTTGAAAGAAAATGAAACATGCAACAGAAGATGGGCTATCTTATTTAGTAAGAAACTGCGAAAAACAAACAACATTTGAAAATAGAAAAACCGTAACTACAAAAGTAAAGAAAAAAGTGACAATCTGCATAAACCATGTCCAGGAATAAGAAACAATAATTGCCATAAAACCACCAGAGTCATTTGAACAAATAATAGAATAGAAGATAACAAAATTTTGAAACAATCCACCAGTGTTCATCAGATACAAAAGATGAATGCCAGTCACTCCCTCAAATAGGAACAGTCTGTTATGCAAAAATTTTGATTCTAAAAACAGATTTATTAATTGGAACACAAACAGAGCAAAATAAAGATAAGCAACTTGATAAGAGCAAAGTAAAGATCAACAAGTTGATACAAAAGTTTCTCTTCTATTCAAAGAACAATAACATATAGCAATTAAACTTAAATCATACACATATTCATGAAGACAGCTTGAAAACAGTTCCCAACGTCGCCCACCCAAAGGCTCAACCAGATATACAGAAAGAACCTTTAAATTTAGTTCTGTGAGTTTACCTAATACAGGTGACATCATGTCCAACCCGCCACTTCCAGGTGTCATAGGTTGACCCCCAGGAGTCCCAGGTAAATAGGCTGAACTAGGCGTCATAGGTGGTTGTCCACCGGGCGTAGATGGAAGATAAGGACTTGGAGCATTTGCTACGCGAGGAAAGCAAGTAATCAAGTCAAAAATGGTAGAAGCCAAAAAACACTAGTTTCAAAAACCCCCAACTACAAGTTGAAACAACAGTGCAAGTCCAAACATCCCAAAATACCCACCATAGGCTGCATTACCATCTCTTGGTGTACCAGCTTCAGCATAACCAGGTGTGGGAGCTTCATAAGCTCTTGAAGGAGGGCTCCCAGGCTGTAAATTAACAAGAAAATATCAGACCACATATAACTAACCGCGAACAAATTTATATTACTGAAGGAGTTAAAACTAACACACACCTGATATTGTGGACTAGTACCCCAGGAACCAGGATTTCCATCTTCCCATTCATCCCTAACGTGGTCAATCAAATGCATAAAACTTCAGTCATAAGGACTCTTAAACATCAGAAGATGAACCATCAACAAGAAGCAAGACCCAAGCTACAGGATATTTTAGCTGTTTTCAATACCCCAAAATTGAAGAGAGTTGAAATGACACTGTTTAAGCGATGTAAGTATATGCTGTTATGTATAGAAGGCAAAAAGGAAGACTTCACAGGCACTTTCAGGTTTTCTATCACTCCCCAAAATCGCAAATAACACATGCTAAAAGGTGGACGTTCAAACAAAGCATCGTGTAGATGTAAACACAGTTTCTTGTCAAATCTGAAAGTGTGAGCATTTGAGTTCAGATACTTTCAGATAAAAATTGACCACAAAGCAACTAAATGAATCCTTCATTTCCATTAGTTAAATAACAAAGTTCTGCCTTTATTTCCCCCCAAACTGAACCAAACCAAAAAGTAAGCAAAAGAGGAGTCCAGCAAAATAGAAAAACACCTCGGTGGACTCATCGGAGTGTATGGATTCCAAGCTCTATCCCGCATAGGTGTCCTCATACCATCATGAATTGGCGTAGCTGCAAGAGAACATTGATTTAAAGGAGTCCCCAAAACCCCAAAAATAAAAAAGAAAAAATCACAATTCAAAAGTACCTGCAGCATCTCTCATGGGTGTCATATATGGGCGTAGAGGAGTCCGAGATGGATGTACTGGGGTCTCACTTCCCATACCAAATCTTGACTTTTCCCTGATGAAATAACAATTGCAGTCATTAATTTAAACTTTCAGATAGGTCAGCTTAAAAAAAAAAAAAAAGGATCAAAGATAAAATAAATAAACTTGTTTACCGGAATGGGGTTGAAACGTTGACATTATCAGTTATTTGATCACGTTTAACTGCACAATGAGGGTTACATCCAATAAAGGGCGAGAAAGATTAAAAGCAAAGGAAACAAAACTATTAGACAGGTAGTCATATCAACTATCAAAAAGCAACTTAAACTTGCCTGTAACCACTCTCATCTGGGCCTCCAGCTCCACTCGGACATCGTTACCTTTAACTTCTTTAACAATTCCAGTACAACCCTTGTGAGGACCTAGACGTATCTTAATTGTAGCACCAACCAAATTGTCATGCCCTCTACCGCCTCTAAATCTTCCTCCTACAATAAAAAGCTAGTTACTTTAGCAAAAAGTTCTTAAACCGAAGGAATAAAAACACACTTGAACAATTCAGTCAATTAAAATGCATGCGCACCAGGTCTAATGTGAAGAAAACACAAAATTCTACTTCAAACTGAACAGATGCAAAAGGAAAATTAAATGAAACTAATAGCTCAAAAGGAAGAAAGGAAGACATGGTAGGGGAAACCAATTGTTATCCCTACTAACATAACCATCTATGGACAAGCCCCTGTTTGCTAAAAGAAGTATAAGATGTAGTACCGTTCATCTGTGGCCCACCCCTAGGTGATCTCATAGGTGACAGAGGAGCACGAGGCGGCCCTCCAAATTTCCCAAATTTTGATGAATAAGAGCCACCCTACAATTCAAACATAATGAACAAAAAGAAAAGGCATGAACATCATCAACACCAAGTATCGGCCACAGGTAAATTGATCAAAGCACAACAGATCAGCAAGATTTACATTTCTGTCGACACTTGTCCGTGATCCACCAACCAGAGCACACGATTGAGATTTGGTACAAATAAAGCCGGCATGCTCAAGATGATGCCGATCATAGACGAATAATATCCCTTTAAAGATATGCTCAACAGGGCCTTGTTTTCCCTGAATTAGAAGAAGCAAGAGATGATATATAATTAAAACCTCTTGTGAAAGAGCCACAGAACAACAACAGCAGATACTTACCCTGCAAGGACCATCAAGAATCTTGACAACATCTTTCACTGACAACTGGTTTCCATTCCGATCCCTTGTCCCACTATTTTTCTTGTCAATCTTGAACTTGATTTCCCTCAATCTCACAAGAGCAACCTCTGGCTTCTCCGGAACCCCCTTAAGAACCTGGAAAAATTCAATATATTCAGTATTATTACTTTCAAAAATGTAAAATTCACATAGGACAATCACAACATGAAAGCAATACACAGACCTGAAAAGCTTCACTCTCGACACGTATGATCACACCAAAACTCATGTCACTGTGCAGGAATATAAAGTTACAACCCAGATCAGGATGACATAATATTAATAATATTAATATTAATAAATAATTGAATAAACCAATAAATAAATACTCACTCCAACTGCACAAGGTCATGGAGCTCATAATCACCAATTCGAGTGACCCCAGTTGTAACTTCAGAGCTTTCCACAACATTATCAGCAAAAACACGAAGCTGAACAAAAGAAAATGGAGAAGTCCTAAAACCATATTTTGAGATCAACAGATACTTTCCAAATCAACAATGTACAAGACTTACGAGCTCCTTAGTAGTATCTGATACAATATTCACAACATGTCCTTCCACCGAAACAACCATTCCAGTTGCACCTTCGGTAGCACCAGCAACAACCTTCACATGGTTTCCAGGTTCAAAATACTTGCAAAGCTCTTTTTCACTGATAGCAAGCGTTGCCTGGAAGTTACATGACGAAGAGAGTGAAAATCCTATAAACAATAAAACGCAGAGGCTTATTTATATAAAACTGTTCCCAACAAGACATGTATAAGTCTGTCCTTACAGGAAGGCCCTTCTCAAATGGTTTTATATGCACAGTATCCTCCTCAACTTTCTCAACTGCACCCTTCAGATTCTTCAGATCACCTTTAACAACAATGACTCGATCACCCTTCAGAAAATGACCCTTTTTACGGTTAGCAAAAAGCGTAGACAAACTAGCCACATCAGCATCCCCGTTCTCACTAGGTTGCCGAAACTTCTCAAGTTCATCAAATGTTGGTTGAATATTCTGAGTACTGATTGATTTCATGGAAAATGTTTTGTACAAGAAACCATCCTTAAACATCATGCCCCCAATATTTTGAAAGTAATCCCCCGACATTGGATCCCTTCTACGTTCCACGCGAATATGCAATTCCCTAGAAACAACACCCCAGGATCAATACAATATATCTATAACAGCACTATATAACATTCTTTATTCAATTCAGCAGTCCTGATATAAATACCTAGCTTCATCGATATTCATAAAGCGTGGAGGAGGAATAAATGTCTTGTTCTTCTTCTTCGGAACCTCTCTACCATCCTGAAATTAAAAAATTACTTCGTCAATACTAAAGGCGCAAACCAGAGATACTCTGTAAGGAAAAAGGTGTAAGATATTTTTCATTTTGCAGAACCTGGCCTTTCAAATAAATACAACCGAAAAAAGTGCCAAGATCATGGAATGTTTAACTAAGTAATCCAGCTTAATATGGCTATCACTGTAGACCATACCAGTTTAGCTGCGAGGGCCTGCAGGTCAATTCTTGGAATCAACTTCAAAGTAACCTTCTGCCGCACATTATCCACATCTACAACCTTGAAAACAGGTATTTCAATTCAGATAAGCAAAAACTTGTCCTGAAAAGCAACAGAAAATAAAACAAAATGGATTATGTCACTGTTGGCTAATATACCTTGGCAAGGTCTCCCTTATATGTTCCTGTCTTCATCCTCACCCAAGTATCCCTTGCTATGTCTACAGCTTTACTTTCAACGGCAAGGACGTCAGTCATTTCCTTGATTGGAACCAGCATTATTTTTGCTGAAGCATATATATTTCGCATGCCCTTGCATGCCTAATTAAGGACCAAAATAGAAGAATTACAATACTTTAGTATACAGAAGAATAGTTTGATATACCAAGTACTCCACAAACTAAAAAATTTGACACATAATTCTGTACCCAGTCAATTACAGTTAACAATATTTATGTTGATAAATACCTCCTTTACATGGGCCTCTTTGTCTGCTTCAATGTAAATATAGTTCTTCAGGTGATCGAGAGCTATAACCGACCTTATTTGCAATTCAGCGCCTTTATCAATAGCTTTCTGCATCAAGCAAACTGCAACTTCCCTTTCACGACCAATCTACAGAAAGACATGAAAAGGCCTATCATCATACATGGCAACACAGCTTTTGAGGGGGTAAGCAAGTGTACAGATGTCTTACTGCACATTTCACCATCCACAACTTAGGATCCCGGACAGATGGCAAAAGTGCTTGTTGTTCCACTTCCGTAGCTTCATCATCGTACTCCATTTCTCGCCTGCCATATCTTTCCTGCAGTCTTCTTTCCAGAGCGTCTATATCTTCTTCTTGCTCATCCTCACGATGAAGTAGTGGGCGACGATGCATCCGCCTAGAATCGACATCATCAGGTGTATCTTCTTCATTTTGCACTATGAAGTCTAGCATGCAAAATAAACCAGTAAGAACCTGAAAAGAACTGTACAAGTATACCTACAACCATAACCTGGGATTGTATGGTTCAAATGGACAAGACAATTTAAATATTGTAAATGAAAGACACAGGACATGGCAAAAGCTTCAGAGACTACACAAATTTTTTGGGCATAGTTTGACAAAATAATAACATAAGTACTGAGAGATACATTATATGCAAGTCAGAATGTTAGATCCTCATCTAAATTACTTCTTTACATATCATTGCAATGGCTATATGATAAGCGAGTATCCTTATCTCCTTAGTTCTGTATATAATAGCTACATAAACGAAGGTAACACGAAAACTGCAACAAAGCTGCATAACTAAAAAGTTGGTAAAGAAAGGCTAAGCTTTCTGTTAGCTGCTTCACTTTTCCTGTAACAGGTTTAAGGCCCTTCCCGCTAAGGACAACTAAACATGTACCACAAATTTCATCTTCTCACTTCATGGACATGGGCTGAACAAACAAACACCTGAACCAACGTCATCTAAGGCTGCAACACAATACTGCTGACGGCATAATATCAAGCATTTTACCCCTTAACCATATTTTTGAACTCAAGGAGAGAGCAAGCAGAACAATCTACAGAAAAGATTCAGACTTACCATTTGAAAATGGACTTAAAAAATAAATAATAGTGAGAATCAGCCAGTCCAATAAGAAAAGGCACAACAGGGATTATTCCACAGTCATGTGACATATAGCTTCAAAGATGACGATGCCCAGGCAAAAAGCCCCTATCATCAGCCATCATCTTATCTTATTCCCACTACAGTATGAAAAATTTCAAGTTCCAGCTTTAAAAACCAAAAGAGAAGCATCTCATTGAAAAGGGACAAACTGTAGGAGAAAAAATAATGACTATATTGACAAGAAGCTTCAAAACATTATTAGGGAAGGTCATAGTATGCATGTATACTAACAACAACAATTACTACTCAGCCTTAGTTTCACTATCTGCGTCAGCTATACAAGATCATACATAACCACGGTGCAGGACCAAAACACATATCTTCATTTAAATTTAACTATATCATTTCCTCAATATTTTCCCTCCTATTCGTTTAAACCTTTTCCCCTTCTATACAAACCAAGACAACATACCAAACTTCATCAAACCTCAGATTAATTTATTTTCAGGAAACACAATAAGTTGAAGAAGCCATCACTATCCGCAGATCACTTCTGACCAAAACCTGGAAGCTATAAATAAATCACTTCCCCTAGCAACCTATTCTGAGGGATCAAGGTGATTGCAAGGTTTTCAAAAAAGGTTTGTCTTAAAAGTGACAGTGAAAAAAGAAATCTATTAACATTAAAGCTCCCTCTTTTGCCAACAATGAAGAAAATGATCCTCCAAAGTGTTCAAACACGTTCATTTGAAGTACGCATCTGGGTAATGTTTAAATATCTATTCATCTCTACAAGCCCAGCAAACATGAATTCCCTTGTTCCAGAAAACAAAGAAGCAAGGAAAAAAGCATTACAGCTTAAACTCTCATTCCACATTATTGAGAAGGAAAGCAACATATCCACCTAACTCCTCGGTTGAAGACATTTTATAAATCATCTGCGAGCCACATAAAATCTTATACATCCTAAGACCAGAAAGCATGTAGAAAAGTCACCCAAATCCCAAAACAGGCTCCTTTTGGACACAACACCAGTGGTAATCACATATTTGAACCTTAAAAAGGAAAAGTAAAGAAAAAAATAAATTTCCATTTCACTGGCACATTAATTATGCACAGTCACTCAACTAGAAACGAGGAAAAATTACCGAAATTGGCAATAGAGTGAACCAAAATCGTTTCGTAAACAACAGGAAAACCAAAATTAAGAGAAGATTCTAACCATCTTCGCCTTCGTACTCCTCATCTTCGCCACCACTCTCATCCTCATAAGCTTCCAAATCAAAGAAACGACTCGCTTTATCCGCCTTCTTCGCTTTCTTCTTACCACTCCGGGCGTACCCGTCCTCATCGTCTTCATCCTCTTCTTCGTAATCTTCATCCTCCTCTGCGGCATCATCTATAAAACTCGATCTCGTACGCTTCTTCGGGAACTTTCCGCTGTCTAATCTATCACCTTCTTCTTCTTCATCATCATCACCGTCTTCTATATCGTTGTCGTCTTCGTATTCATCTTCCTCCGGCTCAATCTCGTCGTCATCATACTCATCGTCTCTTCGCGGCATGATTGTTGAATACCAGTTGTCAGCGCCCGATTCCTATCTCAATTGAGCATAATCCACAACTGCGACGATGGAGAGATCGCAAAAAAGGTAGGGGTTAATGGAACCCTAAAAATGGAAGAAATTGGGATTTTATGATGGAAGAGAAAGCAAGTGCCCTCTGTGTGCGTTTCTGTTTTAAACTGGTCGTTTTTTATTGTAGCGAAAATGATAAGAAGACGGTGAAAATGACAACGTCGTTGGGCTGGGCTAACACAAATAAATATTTAAAACTGGGCTTTGAATAATACCTGGGCTGATTTTGTCCAAAGGCTTTTTGATTTAGCGGATCCCAACAAACATAATTACAATTTTGATATTCTCTCTGTCCCATAATTATTGTTCAGTTTGGGTTTTTTTTTAATAGTTTCATTTTTAATTTAAATTATACTAAAAATGAAATCTCAAATTAGACAATAATTTTGGGACAGAGGGAATATATAATTTTTAATAGAATAGAAAAGGGAAATTTGGGGGAATCTGATTTCTTCTCTCATTTCTATCTGTTCTCTCTCTGTAACTCCTTCCCCCTTTTAGCTAATTCGGGTCGAAGCCGGATCCTTCTAACGGGCTAATTCGTAACAAGTGGTATCAGCCAGAAGTTCTTGGCTGACGGTAGTCATTATGGCCCCCGTAACTCTTTCAACGGCCGCTGGAAACTCCAAAAAAAACCATTTGAAAAAAATACAAGAAACTGTTGACGGCTTAGTCCGATCTCAGGCAGAACTTGATCGGCTATGGGAGCTCAATGTAGCCGAAGACAATGGGCGTTTCAAAGCATTTGAAGAGTGAATGATGATATTGATGACAAATCTATTGACGGAATAAGCTCCATAATATCTAGATTCTTGGCCAGAAGAAAATTCCGTTGATTGGCTTCTAAAATTCAACAACTATTGCTCATTCTTTGCTATTCAGGATCCAACAAAACTTGAAATGGTGGAGCCGCTCCTGGGTAGGGTTAACTTTTGGTTTCAGTTTCTCAAGATGGTGAAGAAAGAATTGTCGTGGGCTGAATTCTCGAGGAGATTCATAAGGGATTTCGTCAAGAGTGGATATAAAGATGAGAAAATCCAAGAAACCCTTGCCGATGAAGGTGAGGAAACTTCGACAAAGTGTTTGAAAACAAACTTGGAAATGACCCTTGTGAAGAAGTTGATCAAGACAGGATTGGTGTGAATGCTTTTGGCAAAAAATTTCAAGATTATTTGGATGGATGTGAAGTGCTTGACGAAAGTCCAAACCGAATTAGAGAAGTTCTAGAAGGAAGCTTCAATTGTTATGTGCAATGGCCTATTCACGCGAAGTGCCGAAACCAGAAAGGTGAATACCATGAGTTCTTTTTTACAGAACTTCTTAGTATTAATCTTGATGGTACTGTGTTTAAGGATTCAAGTGATAGCTTTGGAATTTTGTAGGACGTGAATATTGGTTATATGGAAGAAGAGGGATTTTATTTTTGTGACTTAGAAAATTATAATGGTACTGTGAATTTGGTTAAGGACGAAAGGATTCAAAGTCTGTTGGGGCATTCTTTGGTGAAAAGAGATGAACATCTTGATAATGATTTGGATGGTGCATATTGTTTTGAGAGTAGAGGATGATGACTAATCTTTGCCGTTGATCCTGGTCGATTTAGGGAATCTTTTAATGGTATTAGCTCACTCGATGTTGTGAACATAGTCATCAAAGAAATGAACTTTGCTATAGACCCTGGTGGAAATGATATATCTTTCATTGCAAATGGTTCATTAGATAATGAAATTGTTGTTTTTAAGGTGACAGATTCCAAAGTTTTGAATAGATATTGTTGTGTTCCTGTGAAGTGTGAGTATCAGAAGAAGTGAAATGTTTCCAATAAATTGTTTGAACATGAGATAAATTCAGACATTTTTAAAGAATGGGAATCACTTGGAGAAGATGCTTCAGTTTAGGGCAGAAAGTCTACTTTCAATACAGGAGGAATTGGACATCATTTCAGTTCTAGTCGCTCATTTCTTGTTGAAGGTGTTGTTAGAAAAGGGAAACTTGAGTTACACAATTTTGATAACCTCAAAATTTTGGTTCGCAATGATGCTTTCGATGATTGAGAATGGTCTTGTATTGGAGTTATCGGTTGATTGTGAAAACAGTGTTATGATAAAAAAATCTTAAATTGACTAGATTAGTTACTGAATTTAAGGGAGGTACTAAGCTTCTAGACATGGCCAGTTTTGACTATTTATTCTACTATGGATGAAAATGATAACAGTATTCAAAGGTTGAAGTCCCTCGTACTCTGTTATGGGCTTCTGGCATATGGCAATGAAGCCTTTGGGGATTTGCAGAAAATTTTTATCACTGCATTGCTTGTAATAACACTTTCCGAAGCAGTGTGAAAATGGATGTAACAAAGTGAAGAACAACAAATCATGGGTTGCAATGGTGACCGATTTTAAAGGAGGAACTTATCAATCATCAATGGTCAAACACCAGCTACTCTTTTCAATCACTGGTTTGGATGATTGGGTGATCATTGCACCAAGAAGCTTGTTGCAGAATCGTTCTGTTGAAAGGGACACCCCAACTGTGAAGCAAATTCTAGTTCAAAGTTTGAAATCTCAGTCAAGAAGGTGCAACATGGGTGAATGAAGATTTTATTCGTGCTCAAGCTGCTTCCCTAGCTCTAACAATGCAAATAGATTTTAAGGTTTTGCACCATTCTGATTTCTTAGGGAGAAGGATTTGTTAGCTAATGGCTCAGTTAATTGTGAACGGTGTCGTTTGGGTCTTCAATTAGATACATAATTTGTAATAGAATAGGAAAGGGGAATTGGGGGTTATTGATGAATCTGATTTCTTCTCTCATTTCTATCTATTCTCTCTCTCTCTCTATAACTCCTTCCCCCTTTTAGCTAACCCCTTTACCCTATTAAAGCAGAACACAGGATCTTGATGTGGCAATTTCTCATTAAAAATTTTTTGCTCCAAATTCACCATATTACATTAACTATTCTGCCACGTGTCATCTCTTTTTAAAAGAAAAAAAAATTCTTATCCGGAGAAACAAAAGCTATTTTACAAAAATAGCTACACAATTTTAATTCCTAACATTTATCATTTATCAATCAAATTAAAATAGCATTTAAATTTGCCCATAAACTTATTCCCTTTATTACTCCACATTCTTTTGTATGATTTCTGCATCATTGTACTTTTCAATATTTTTTCTCCTTTCACAGATGATTTTTTTATTTTTATTTTTATTTTTGGCTAAAAAGATTAAAAAAAAAAAACTAAATGTGTAGCTATTTTATTTTTTCCAAATCAAGAATTCATTTATCTATTAACATAAAATCAAAGTAGAGGGGCGCCCAGGCATCTGCCCGGACCAAGCATCTAGTTCGAGTCGAAGCCGGATCCTTCTAACGGGCTTATTCATAACACATATCTCTTTAATTGTCATTTAACTCCATTGACATAACACTTAATCTACACACAACTAATGTCTCTTGGTAAGTTTAGAATCTCGAATGTGATTGTTCAGTAATTAAATTAAGCAATTTGATTGGCCAATCGGTGCACGTGATATCATCTATCATGAATTGAGCGTTCTGATTGGTCAATACCCAATATATTAGTATTACATTAATAATTTAAAACATTATTATAATTGTCAGTTAATAAAAACTATTTTGCCACTCAAGTCGGTCGAAACGACGATATGTTGTGTTGTTTTTCCCTTTACTGTGTGGAATATATAGGGATGACATTATTCCTAAAATGTATAAGTTGGGTCTAATTCAGCAATTTTTCCTTAAATGAAGGAATCAAATTTGATTTTTTTTATTAAATAAATGCTCGTAATTAATAGATTAATTTTCAATTGAGTCTGCTTGTTATTTTAGGAATGAATTTTACTCATTAATAATATGGTAATTTATGAAGATCAAATTTGAAATATATATGGATAATGGAAATAATAAAAATAGGTTAAAGAAATGGGTAAAAATTAAATTGAAATAACCAATTTATAAAAAATTTCAACCATTTAATGAAAGAGTCACTCTTGGGTTGGCAAGTGGCAAACAAAAGCGTTTAACTTGACATGTGGCAAAAGAATTTCTGGACTACCTAATTGATCGACACATATCAATTGAAAACCTTCTCTTAATATATAACTAGTATTTATCCCGCACGTTGTGCGGGTTGTTCAAAAATAATATTAATGATATAAAAAGTATAAATTACAATTGGGTTTTATTAATGTCAATGTGTTTTATTATTTTAACTACATTTGGAATAATGTTCGATGTTCAAAATTATCCAATGTAAATTATCCAATGTGTTTTATGTGGCTTTATATTTTCTAAAAGTATTTTCTTAATTTTTTATAATAATTTCTCTAAATATTTCTACCCGTGTTATATCTTGTAACTCTCATCTAACAGAAAAACTTTCATTATTTATTTCCATAAAATTACCTATATATTCTATCTCTCTATATACATTTTTCAATGTTTTTTAGACGTTTGTTCGTATGTATAATATAGTGTTTACTTCATTTTTTTTTCTTGGTTGCATAGTTTTTTTTTTCTCCCCCTAAATTTTATGGCCTCTCTTTGAAACTGTATTTCTTGAAAAATTTGTTATAATTATTTAATTTTCACTATTATATTTGTTTCTTTTTCCATATGTTCTTATTCTCTACATAATGTTTTCCTTCGTATAATTCATTTCAATTTGTTAATATACTTTTCTTCTACTGTTTGTCTATCACAACGATCTTGATTCTTTCTCTCATTTTGAAAAACTTTCGCCATCATAACGTCAATGTTTATTGGTAATCATACGTTTATGCGTTTTGTTTTATCATCATAGCGTTAACTTTTCTACCATTATATCACATGGAAAACATATAATGAATATATTATATTATTATATTAATTTATTAGTAATAATTTAATATATAATAATAATATATTACATTATATAATATATAAATTATTATATAAAATAAAGTTTGGCAAATTAATATATAATTATATTATTATTATTATTATTTTACTTTTTTATTTTGTAATTTTTTGATTTATTATAAGTATAATAAATAATAATAATGTTGGATGCCCGCTAGGTACCATCCTGAATTTAACTAAAAAAATAATAAATAAGAATGATAATAATAATAGCAACACCAAGAATAATTATCATTAACCCCGTTAGCCCGTAACAAAAAACTGGATGATGTCATCAAGATGTCAAAAACACATATTTATTATAAATATATAAATAATAATATAAAATATTTATTAAGTAAAAGAATCAAATTCAAAAAAATCACAAAGGAATGAATAGTTGAATTTTACTGTTGATTTACTACTATTACTACTTAATAGGACACAAGAGAGAGAAAAAAAAGTAAAAGGATACAAAAAGTTTTCACAATAAGAAAATTCAAAAAAATTAAATTTGAAAAATAAAACTGGATGATGGGGATTGGATTTGGGGGGTGGTGTCAGGCGTTGGGCAGCAAATCAGAAAAACAGGAAAAAAATATGCAGTTTTTGGGGGAAAAATAAAAATAAATAAATAAATAAATAAATAATAAAAATGAAACCCGGGTCAACCGGTTCATACTGATTCCCGGTCCAACTGCCGGTCTTGACCGAATTTGACCGGTTAACTACTGTAGTGGGTCTTGTCCCTGCCGGTCCGGATCTGACAACACTGAATTTTACGTCATGTGTCCGATTGAAATCTCTCATTTAATAAATATAAAGGTATAGATTTTTATCCAACAAAACACATGAATTGGACTTGACCAGCTCCAATTCCATTTAACCAAACAGAGCCGAAGCATTTATAATAGCCAAACTTTCGATAGTATGAGTGCATTTGCAGAACAAGTGAGATCATAAGGCGATAGTAGAATATCCATACAAACGCATTAATGCACCAATCTAGACTCAAAAGAAAATGTGACTGGAAGGGTATATTAACAACATAAGATGATGAAAAAGAGAGGAAACAGAGTACAGTGCCTAACTCCTTACGAGATACTACTATCGGCCAATTGCTTAAGCCAGCATACTACTATTGGCCTGGCATCATTAAGCTGGGAATTTCTAATTGCAAGTTTGCAACCCTATTGTCAAGGGTGCAGTGCCCAATTTGTATTTTACATTTGAAAA